GGGACTCCAGGATCATGACCTGAGCCGAAGGCAGTCGCTTAACCAACTGAGCCACCCAGGCACCCTGGGATAGATTTAAAAAACTGTTATAATTTAATAATGAAAAGTCAAATAACCCAATGGAAATATGGGCAAAGGATCTGAATAGCATTTCTCCAAAGATATAGCCAATAAGCATATAAAAATACTTAATATCAGTATCATTAATCATTAGACAAGTACAATTCAAAACCACAGAGATACCACTCATACCTAATAAAGATGGCTATATTAAAAAGGCACATAATAACAAATGTGGACAAGAATATGGAGAAATTGGAACACTCATACGCTGCTGGTGGGAATGTAAAATGATGTACAGCCACTTTGAAAAGCAGTCTGTCAGTTCCTCAAGAAATTAAATACAGAGTTACCAACATGACCCAGCAATTCCAGTCCTAATTATATACCATGATAAATGAAAATAATGTCCATACAAAAACTGGTACATGTGTGATCATAGCAGCATTATTTACATTAACCAAAATGTGGAAACAACCCACGTGTCCATCAACTGACGAATGGATAAATAATGTATATCTATTTATATAAAAAATATAGTCTGTATTCAGATATAGTATATCTATTTGATAGAATATCATTTGAAGGGGCGCCTGGGTGGCTCAGTCGTTAAGCGTCTGCCTTCGGCTCAGGTCATGATCCCAGGGTCCTGGGATTGAGCCCCACATCGGGCTCCCTGCTCCGCAGGAGGCCTGCTTCTCCCTCTCCCACTCCCCCTGCTTGTGTTCCTGCTCTCGCTGTCTCTCTGTCAAATAAATAAATAAAAAATCTTTAAAAAAAAAAAAAAAAGAATATCATTTGAAATGATTTGGAATAATGAAAAGAAATGGAGTCCTGAGGCCTGCTACGACATGGAAACCTTAAAAGCATCATGTGACGTGAAAGAAGCCAGTTACAAAAGATCATATATTATATGATGCCATTTATATGAAATGTCTAGAACAGGCAAATTCACAAAGTCAGGACGTGGATTAGTGGTTGCAGGTGGTTAATGAGGAGTTTTGAAAGGGAGGGAATGGGGAATGACTGCCAGTTGGAATGGGGTTTCTTTTGGGGGTGATGAAAATATTCTATTGATTGTGGTGATGGTTGCACAACTCTGAATATACTAAGTTACTTAAAAGCATGATCTTATATGCTGACAATATTCTCCCTCTCTCAAAAAGCAACTTTAAAAAAACAGCTGAAACTATTAGTTAAATATTACCGGAAAGATCTTCTGCATATCAATTATACCCAAAGTAATTTTTTTTTTTGTAATCACACTATAAATCTAGACTCCAAGGAGACAATTTTATACCATCTGTTCTCCTTGAGCTTGCATCAGAATCACCTGGAGAGCTTAAATAAAATGCAGATTGCTGGATCCCAACCCCAGGTTTTCTGATTCAGTAGGGTGGAGCCTCTAACATATTCCCAGCTGATACTGAACTGATTCTGCCAACCCAGCGACCACACTTTAAGAACCATTCAGTATTCTACACTAATCTATTTAGTTTACTTGTGGTTTTATTTATGATTAATTTCTCCTGATCAGCTCAAAGAGAGTTATACTCAAAAATCAAAGCTGTGCTATGAGCCATGTGGTAGATTAGAACTGCCGTAGTAGGACTGTTTGATTGACAGAAAGCTATTGCACAAGACCGCAGTGTACCAAATGGGCCAGCTCTTGAGCTTGAAATACAAAACTAGGCAGGCCTACCAGATACAGAATCAAAAGGTCACAAAGAAAGGCATCAGTAAATCAGACTAATGCCAGAGAATAGGAAAAGAGGTCAATAAAGTTTTGCGCCTGAAGGCAATGACAGTTACTAGGACATCACTGCATTCCAACTGGCTTTTAGTTCCTGAGCCACATTCTCAATTCGATGTGACCCAATGGTACAGGGGTCCCTGTTCCCCTGACACTTTCTTGTGCTGCTGTTTCCGCAGTATAGAAAGCTTGCTTGTGTGACTGAGATGCATGTCCTCGTTACTCTAGAGTTATTCCTACAAAAACCTGCCCCTACTTAAGATAGACTTGAGTGGGCAGCTTTTGTTGAAAGTCCAATGAACAAATTTCCAAAAAGATCTTAACAGGACAGGGTTGATGAGCTGGTTGTAACAAGATGATGCTTGATATAGACATGTGCTCATAATGGAATTCGAGCTCATATTTGATAACCACGTGATAAAATTGACAAAAACAAAACAAAAAATGAGTTTGTCCTGCACTTACAGGATTATACAGCCAAAAAAAGAAGATAATGACCCCATGCTGTACTAGGTCAAACCAAACCTGATTTCTGTGTTATTACCATATTTTCAGTAGAATCAAAGATAAACTAAGACATGTCCAGAGTAGAGTAGAAGGGTCTGGAAATTATGTAACTGAAAGTTAAAGGAATCAACAGGTTTAATTTGAGAAAATTTAAAGAAAGGGAGACGAGGGGAAGAAGATACAGCTCTTACCTAATAATTTTAGTGCTACTCCAAATAACACCAACTACAAGAAAGAAAAAAAGACTCCACAGTCTAAATCTGGGAGACCCAGATTATTGTATCTTCCTCTTAAATATCTCCCACATAGATTAGAATATAGAACACTGACTGACATGTAGTAGATGCTCAATAAATATTTATTGAATGACTCAGCCCAATAAAGAATTTGTGAAGTACTGAAATGAAGTAATCTACTGTTTGAACTACTGCTTCCCCAAATAACTTGACTGTGGTTCCCCCCACCTTTCCTCATGATACCTGTTAATATATACCATGAAATCAGTGTCTTTAGAGGACATTTGGGAAAATGTTATATTAGACATAGCACATATGGATTTTGGTGAAATAAAAAAAAGGTAGTAACTAAAGTAGTAGCCTTAGATCCAATGTAAAGGAAACTTTGTAGCAGAGAAACCCAAGATCA